TGTAAATCTCAGGAGTACAGACATTGATGGGGGCCGAGATGGTGTAGAGGCAGGGCAGCCGGCTTGGGACCCGAAAGTCCCAGGTTCGATCCCCAGTCACTGCACATCACGTGGCGTCTCTGGGCAGCATGCCTCACCCCCAAAATGCCCCCCAGGCGGCCCTCAATAGCTGCCCACTGCACCACCTGGTGGTGGATGGGTTAAATGCAGAGACTAATTTCGCCATTGTATGGAAACATACAGTGATGACATTATTATTATTATTAAAGCTGAACACATGGTTCAGTGTTTTTAAATATTCTTGGTGGAGTTAACATTAACACTAATGAAATATTCTTATGACAAGTTTTGCAAAACTCACAGTTACTGATAATTTTTTATTAATATCTATCTATATGTCACTTCACCACTTGCTCTCGACGAGATCGGATGCTTCCCTCCCTCCCTCTCAGCTTTGCTTTGCTGCTCTGTCTGTCTGTGAAATTGCTGTGAGCCTCTCTTGCATCTTCCGAATCATAATTATGGACTTGTTCTGACCAGTTGGTCCCTCAACTCAATTTACAATATTTCTTCGAAGAGAAGACAGCTGATTTTCCCTGTTGGCACGCACGCTGCTGAATATCTCATCGACTTGGAAGACTTGATGATGTGTCTATCTCTGCTGCCATCTGTGGATTTTAAGGACGCATATTTTAATTGGATTTTTGATAACTGGTTTCTGCTATTTTGGATTCAGCTGGTGCTGGTTTATCAACAATCAAGGAAGTTGTCAGCAGCAAATTTGGACCCGATCACGCTGCTTGCCTTTATGATGGCTTGGTTCGTGTCTCGTGTACCCGGACTCAAATGCTTTGGGCTGAATGGATCAGATCTTGGTGATTTTACTCGGTCACGTTCCATCGGTGTTGCCATGTTGTTTTGGCCATTTCGGAACCGAGTGGACCAACACAGACTCAAGGCAGATGTCATTAAGTTCTGCCTGTCCCCAAAACAACTGTGTGTTTATCTAAATTTTGTCTCCCTTGGTGTCCTTGAAGGTCATCTTATCTGAATTCACCTGGAGAAAATGTGATCTGACGCTCACCACCCCCTCCCTGAGGAATTTCCAACTGATAACCAGATGAACCAGCTGAATAAACTTTGTGTCATCATTTCAGGACTCTTGGATTCTCATAGATGTTATTCTTGGCCATTCCTCGACATACCTCGAGAATGTTTATGGATCTCACCGGAGGACATTGACTGATTACAGTGACCTCAAGAGCATCTATAAGCGTTGTTGACCGCTCCCGTCTCCGTTTGCAGAATGTCTACGTCACTATGTGTTTGTTTGTGCGAAGTGTTTTTTTTTTAATATTAGAGGAACTTTTTCTCAGGCAAGAAAAAAAAGTCTGATAGGAATTTTTTTCACCTCCAGCTCCTACATGTGTCCAGTTAGCCACTGTTTTTTTGTCTGTCCAAACAGGTCTCACTTGTAAATGAGTCTTTGAGGCTCAATGTGATTTATCTGTTTAAATAAAGGTTGAATGAAACTATCTATCTATCTATCTATCTATCTATCTATCTATCTATCTATCTA